CAGTTGTTTATCAAACCCCCGGCCAAAAAAAAAAAAACAAACCAAAAAACCACAAAAAAAGCAAAAAAAACCCAGGGCACGGCAGGGCTGGTGGGGGGGAGGAGGCAGTTTTTGGCTTCTGTGCTTGGCCCTTACCTGTGCTTGGCCCTTACCTGTGTGGAGCTGGGAGTCCCCGCTCGCGGCCCCGTCTCGCTCCGAGCAGGCGCCAGGGGAGAGGGATGGGGAGGAGAGCGAAAAGCGTTAGAGAAAATGAGCAAGGAAGGCGGCAGCGCCTGCGTGGCTCCCGGCTCCGGCATGCAGCTTACTTAAGTTAAAATAAAAAATAAAAATTAAAACAAACAAACAAAAAAAAAACCCATTTAAAAATATTCAACCACATTTATGTGTCTTAATCTGCATTTTAAATTAATCTGGTCAATCAATAGAAAATAAGTATGTATAATTTTTTTTCTCCCTATGTACACATATATATTTATATATGTATATATATAATATATATAGATATATAAAACCCAGCCAGGAGTCCCTGTTTTGCCGTCGTTTCCCCGGGGAGGCGGCAGCTCCCTTCTTCGAAAGGAAAAAATCCTTCAGCGGGGCTTGTGCTCCTGCCCCCGGGGCGGCTGGCCCAGCACTGCCAAGCTGCATCATTTTTTTAAGCTGGGGGGGAAAGGAAAAAACCCCCCCCGCCTACTTACTGTGCGTAAAGGGAAGCGTCTGTGCGAGGCTTCGCTAGGTAGCAGCCTGAAACGCCGCCCGGCGAGCACACAGGGAAAGCAAAAAAGAAACAGCAACGTGCCCAGCAAGGCAAAGCTGGGGGGGGGCAACGCCAGCGGGCGATGCTCGATGCCAACAAATGGAGGCACCGGCCGCCCGCGCTGGCCACGTCCCGGCCACCAGCCCTCCCGCCTGCCCCGGAGAGAGGGGGAGAAAAGCACGTGTAGCCCCCGGCCTCCGAAAAATCCCACCTGGAGCAAACACCCTTAAAAGGGGGGCAGAGCTGGGGTTTATCTGTTGAAGTGCTCCCATTTTGAAGTGCTCCCGTGTTTAAGCTTTTCAATTAATAGTTTCAATTCTTAATTTTTTCAACTTTTAAGCTTCTCCATTTTTAAGCTTTTCAATTTTTAAGCTTTTTAATGCCTTTAAACCTTCCTCTAAAGCTCTGTTTTTCCGAGCTTCTCCCCAAGAGAAGCCCTGGCACGGGTGCCCACGGTGCGGAAGGAAGCAGCTCCGCTTACCCTCCTCCAGGGATAGATGTAGGCGATGTCCATCAGGGTGTAATACTCCTTCAGGGGCTCATCTTCGTAGAGGACTTCCACCTGGCACAGGGGACAGCGTCAGTCCCCCGGCACGGGGGCAGAGGCACCGCCACCCCCCCGGAGCCGCTCATCAGGGCTTTGCCGTCCCCCGAACCCCCCTCCCAGGGCCAGGAGCTGCCAGGGCTCTTGGCACTGCCCTTGCCAGAAGCCGGAGCAAGTTCAGAGCTTACATGCAACGCACCATAAGGGCCGGATCCTGCCCCAGCGCCCACCCGCTGATGCCTGGGCTGCCGCAATATTTGGGAGCTGGCAAAGCATTTGCAGCAGGGGATGTGACACGGGAGGGCCAAACCGGCATCGGCCCCTCCGAGCCCACCGGAGCGCACCGAAAGCCGGGCAGTGAGAGGACCCCGGGCACACGCTCACCTTGTACTTGCTGGGAACGTCCATCTTGTTGCGGAGGAACTTGGCCAGGTGCATGACGGTCATGGCGGCGGGACAGCGCAGGAACCGCACCCCGTTCTTCTGGGCAGGCAGCGGGAGGGGGCCGGGGGGAGAGGCGTTGCTGAGAGTCCGCCGTGCAATTAATGGGCAGTTCCCACCTCCTTCAGCGGGCGGTTTGGGGTGCCCTCCCGCTCCCCTCCCGCAACCCAAAAGCCCTGGAGGCAGCTGGACACGGAGCTCTCCGTGCCATGGTCCCACCACACTCACCTTCTCCTTCTCCAGGTCCCCGTTCTCAACGGTCCCTTTCTTCTCCTCTCTGGGGGGAGGAAAGCAAACACAGGACAAAGTTTACGGAGGAATAAAAAGGCGGAGAGAAAAAAAAAACCAGCAGAAGGGCTGTCCACGGAGGGGCTACAAGGGGGAACATCCAGTGACCTTCAGCCAAGCTCTGGCTTCACCCGCCCCAACCACACACACGCCCAAGCTGCTGCGTTTCGAATCCAGCACACTCCAACCACTGCCCAGGCTGCCGCCTTCCCTGCCGCCCGCTGAATCCCTGCTCCGGGTACCGGTGACATCCTTGGAAGCCGGCACCGGCACTGGGGACGTGGCAGCCCTTGGGCTCTGCTGCCTGGGAAGGAGTCTTCCCCTGCCTGCTCGGGGAGCGGCGAGGGGGGGCCCCCCCTGCCGTAGCAAGCCCCCACGGAGGGTACAGGATGGGGGACCAAGGCAGATGGGTTTTGGGTGCTCCTCTGCCCATTCAAGCACCCCAAGAGATGCTGAGCCGTGAGCAGGGGCTGCGTCAGCCATCACCACCCGGAATCTCAGCTCCGTCTCCCGAGTGGGAAGGGAGGGTGAGAGTTTATTCACAACCCCCAAACCCAGGCAGACGCAGAGCCAGCAGCCCGAAAACGATACCTGGAGCCTTCATAAAACTCTATGGACAGGCTGACGATCTCGTCGTCTGTCAGGTTCCCCTTGTCCTGCTCGGAGACTTCCCCGCGATCTTCGTTGGACCCGTTGGGAACTGCGGGAGCAGAGGGAGGTAGAGGCTGAGCTGTTGCGGGGGGCACAGCCAGGGTGAGGGGGGGTCCCTGGGGCTGACACTCACCCTCTGCCATGGGGTAGGCTGCGTAGAAGTCGCGCCGCCTCTTCATCTCATCTGCGAGAGAAGGGAGGAAGAAGGTGAGGGGGGAAAAAAATCACACCAAGGGGGAGATGGGTGAAAAGAGAGGGGAGCAAGAGGAAGCCCCGGATTGCCGAGCGCCTGCTCCCCGCCGGCAGCTCAAGCACGAGCCGCCTGATGCAGACGGACCCGTGGGAGAGCAGTCGCTTTAGCAAGAGCGATCGAGTCGTACCAGTAAAACCCTCGGAGCGGCTGCAAATCCGCTGCTGTGGGAATGCCTGTATGGCGGCTCGACTGTCCTCAGTCTTTCCACACCTGCAGACCCCCACACTTTTTCCCCCGAGGATGGGCAGGCACTTGGAGAGCAAATCCGTGGCTCCTGCTCCCAGCTTTGCTTTTCGTGGTTCCCCCCAGCAGCAGCCCCTGGGCTGCCGGAGCGCGGGATGGGCCCTATCCGGACAGACCCATCCCTGTCCGTTCACACCATGCATTTTCCTGCTGTCCCCGTTACACGGGCAGGGGCGTGCGTGAGCAGCGCGAAATCCGGGGGCCCAGTTTCACTGGTGGGTGGGAGCGAGTTACAAACAACCCCAAACCCACACAGTTATAACTGTCCATGGCTGTACCTTTGAAAAGCCCCGGGACCAGTTTGTACACTATGTCCTGTAGGGTTTTGTCCGACCTGGGGGGAAAAAGAAATAGGAAAAGAGAGAGAAATCAGCTGGATGGGAGCGGCTGGCTTCCCCGGGCTCTGCCTTGCACCATGCGTGCCCCGGCCAGCTCCAACGCCGCCTCTCCCCATCTCCCTCCCAGGGAAACTCCCAGCACAAAGCCCCAGCGCCCCGTCCCACGGCGATGCCACAACCCTGTCTCGCAAGCAAACCCATGCGCCCTCGCGCTCACACCAAAGGGTTAACTCTGGAAAAAGAAAGAAAACCATTTCAAAAATCCTTGCAATTGCTAGGGATGATGACAGCAGGATTTTGGGGCCAGGATCCTTTTCAGTAGTCAAAACGATTACAAAAACACCCCGAGAACTCACCAAAAAAAAAAAAAATTATCTGAGATCAGCAAATGTTTCTGCAAGTTTTAATTTGCTTCTAATTTTATTTTCGGATTCGGCTGCAGCCCAGGGCTCAGGCTTTGATTTCCCCCTGTTGTAAGTGTGGCAGGACAGCACCCGCTGTCAGGTTGTTGTACAGGAAAGCAAAGCGGATTCCCTGAAACGTGAACGTCTCAGGGTAGGATCTTCTAAAGCACTCGAGGAACTGGGGAAGCTCAAGTCCCATCCTCAGCCCAGAGCCGGGAATGGGATTTTGCTTGGGCTCGGGACCCTACAGGCACAATTTAAAAGCAGCAGCTCAGCCAAATAAAAAAAAAAAATCTCAAAGCAAGAGCAGTGGGACTGGTGAAAAGTAAATGATATCTGCAATTATTTCCATTTTAATAATAAGGCCTTTCTTTTAAAGAAAAACAAATGACCGTACCCTATATTATTTTTAGCCCAGCCATGCCTTTCATCCCTAATTCCTCGGTGATGTCACTCTGGTTCACGAGGCCCCGCTGTGATTTTATTTATAATACATACCCAGAGAATTTGCTTTATAATTTACAGCAAGCTAATGAAAAAGCAACCTCAGCCGCTTGATTGGCAGCTTAATTACCAGCCGGTCGCTGCTCTTGCATGAGTCAACCCCGTTCAGCCCAGCGGGGTGGCGCTGGGTGGGGGCCAGGGTGCCACGGGGGATGCGGTGGCCACGCGGGGGGAGCGCCCTCGGGCCCGCGCACCC